TTTAGAGAAAGTTTCAAACAATAAAAAACGTCCTTTGACTACATACCCTTAATGATAGAACGTCCAACGTCCTTCCTGCAGGATGAAAAAGACTCAGGTGAGTCCCTCCGAAATCGCTTTCTAAAATTAACTTGGATTGAGATAAACACAAAAAAATATATATGGTTTGAAAGGTAAAGATACAAGCTTTCAGCGCATGTAAAAATTAAATTTCTAAATTCAAACCCCAAGGCTAGGCAACTTAAAGAAGTTAAATTTTTGTAAAACTGACCTAATGTTTAGTGCTAGATCGTCGACGCCCGGTCCTGCCGGCAGGACACTTTTTCAGTTTATTGATACGATTACCCAGCCCTGATATTTAAATTTAGAAACTTGATATTTACATGATCTGATAGCTTTTTTAATTACCTTTCGAACCATATATATTTTTTTATGTTTATCTGAATCCATATTAATTTTATAATGTTTTTTCGGAAAGACTCTCATCTGAGTCTTTTTCATCCGTCCGCAATTGCGCTGGATACAAATCTTTATACATAGTGTTATAATAATAATACAAACAAAATTCAAGATTAAAAAAATATATAATGCAGAAAATTTATTTGGTAATTTATGGAAATTTATTTGGTAATTTATGGAAATTTATGAGGTAATTTATGAAATTTTGAGGTAATTTATAATTATAATACAAACAAAAATTCAAGATTCAAAAACTATTGCAGAAAATTTACGTGGTAATTTTTGGAAATTTATGCGGTAATTTATGAAATTTTTGAGGTAATTTATAATTGTAATACAAACAAAATTTAAGATTTAAAAATTATTGCAGGAAATTTATGCGGTAATTTATGAAATTTATACGGTAATTTATGAAATTTATGCGGGAATTTATAATATCTAAAAGAAAAATTTGAAAACTAATTTTGGGAATTTATAGGGTAATTTATGGTAATTTATGAAATTTTTAAGGTAATTTATAATATATAAAATTTTATATGGTAATTTAAGAAAATTTAATGGAAATATATGTTTTAAATAAAGTGCGTCCTGCCGGCAGGATGACGGAACATCCTGCCGGCAGGATGGCGCAATGTGCGGAGAAGCATCCTGCCGGCAGTACGCAGCGGCTTGTCCAAGCGTCCTGCCGGAAGACCCTTCCAGCAGGATGGGCGCTTGGACGTTCTATCATTAAGGAAACTTTTTTCTTAAATCTTTCTTAGAAACTATGCTGTCCGTTTCATGCATTTAAAGCATATGTAAATTATTTTCTGCTGCATAAAATTAATTCTGGGAATGTAAATGACAACTTAAAAAAAATAAACCTGCAAATATTACCTTTTAAAGGAAGAAACTTACGTAATTTGTGAAAAATAGCGATTTTGTCCCCATTTACCCCAACTGACCCTAAGTACGTTTTTATTGCAGAATTTAAAATTCAAAAATATGGTACTTTAATATTTTTGTATTATTAATTTTAATTGAATATATTTAACGCACCTTTATTATTCACAAATCTTTAAAGATGTCTTAAAAAACTGTTTATTTGGCTGTCAACAATTAAAAAAATTATTTTTTTTTGTATGTTATTATACTTATTATACTGATTTAAAATTGTTACATGAAGTTTTATACTATTTTAAAATAAATTGAAATACTATATGAAATAATTCCAAACCTTGTCTTTTTATATGCACTAATAATGATAATAATAATGTAAAATTATATCAAATAACATTTTTAATCAATTATTTACATAGCTAAGTAAATAATTCTAAATGGGGGGGGGGAAGGTCAAATTCAAGGTGAAATATGTCGAAGCGCCAATTTTCACTATTATTTTCGTAATCAGCGCACCAAAATATGGATATTACGCAGTTTCAAAAAGATTGTAGGTTTGAGCTAATCTTTATCCTAAATGGAAAAAATCTTTTCAAAGAGAATTATCAACAATTTTATTGCTTAAAAAATTTGCATTAAAAAAAATATATACATTTAATATTATAAGAGATAGAAATAAGTAACGAATCTAAAAAAAACTATAACAATTCAGAAGAAAATGTAATAAAATTTTTAATGTAAAATTTATGCGATTAAAACTTGACATTATTTCGTTTATCATTTTTTTTTATTCGCAAATATTTTTACAAAAAAAAAATTGTTGAAAAAATTTTCTTAGAATTATATAAGTTTTTTACACTGATTATTTATTTATTGTTCTTTTTAAATACACATATATTTTTTTAAATCAAAGTTTTAAAACAGTAAAATTGTTTTTCATTTTTTGCTATATATAACTTTTAAGCATTTTTACTTTTTGTAAAAATTAAAAAATCAAGTTTATTTTTAAACTATATTAAAACTACTTTCATTAATTTATATGCTAAATCGACAAAATGGTTACACCGAAAAAACGTAACTCTAAATTTAAGTATATATTCTTGGCGTCTCTTTAAGAATACTTTATTCTTAAATTCACATATGCGAGACTTAAAACATGAATTTGATTGGAATGGTGTCTCTGTTCTTGATAATGAACCGATTTGGCGAAGGAGACTGATCTCTGAAATGATACACATAGGTTTACAAGATAATCCTTTAAACAAAAAAGATGATACAAAATATCTGAGCCAATATTATAAAAAATTTTTTCAAATAAATTTCATAATATCATTTAATTTTAATTAATAGCTAATTTTCACATCATTATTATTTCATTGGTCATTCTCTGTTCGTACAATCGCACTCGCATCTATTTAGTTTGTCTTTTGACGTCTTAACTTCAAGATGACAATTTTATAGTTTATTTTTTTTCGGTAAATTTTAAATATTGTACATTTTCTTAATTTTATATTGTTTTTACATTGTGTTGACTTATATTTTTACATTTTATTAATAAATTTTTAGTTTCTGATGAGGATACCCTGGCGGATTCGATTTGCGTAATGTCTACTTAACTAAGTGGACTTTAGGTAGACATTAGGTAAACATGTAAAAAAACGTATAGAAAAGCTATTAATCGACTTATTATGATAGAAAAAAGTTGATAAAAGGGTAAATGAATGTTTATAGAGTAAATTCGTACAAAATTTTGTAATTAATAAAGCATTAAATAATTAATAATGAATGGAAATGTGCGCGAGGTACCTGATCAGTTCAGCTGTACAATTATTTTCGTGCTATTTTCATGAAAAGAATATGAATTAACGGCAAAAACAATTGATATTTATAAAAAAGTGTAAAATTGATTTACTTTGAGTGTTTGCAATACGAATTATTAAATAATAATTAAGTTTTTATCAAATGTGAATAGTGTTGTGAAAACCTGTGAAAACTAATGAGTTACTACATTACCGATCGCATATGATAATAAAAAGTTCTCGATGAGTGTAACAAAAAAGCTGCAATCATGTCCGTAATTTTGGACGAGAAACAATTATGAAATCAATAATTATTTGTATAACTTTATTCTGCATTTTAAAATTCACTTTTTATTTTCTTTCAAAGCAAAAGCTTGGAAGAAAACATGCTCGCACTGAATTGTAAAAACTGGTGGCGCCATCTCTCATATGCGATCGGTAATGTAGTAACTCATTAGCTTTCACAGGTTTTCACAACACTATTCACATTTGATAATAACTTAATTATTATTTAATAATTCGTATTGCAAACAATAAAATTAAATCAATTTTACACTTTTTTATAAATATCAATTGTTTTTGCAGTTAATTTATATTCTTTTCATGAAAATAGCACGAAAATAATTGTACAGCTGAACTGATCAGGTACCTCGCGCACATTTCCATTCATTATTAATTATTTAATGCTTTATTAATTACAAATTTTGTACGAATTTACTCTATAAACATTCATTTACCCTTTTATCAACTTTTTTTATCATAATAAGTCGATTAATAGCTTTTTTATACGTTTTTTTACATGTCTACCTAATGTCTACCTAAAGTCCGCTTAGTTAAGTAGACATTACGCAAATCGAATCCCCCAGGGTAGCAGTGCTGTCGAAACGTCAAAAATAATTTCTTTTATTTTACTGACTACTTGACTTGGATGGATTGTTAAATTTTTTTCCTTACTATTCATTACACTAAGGGATAAATTCATTATTAAATTAATTGATATAATTTTTATTTTCTATAGATATTTTTCTTATTTTGTCAATATAGTTCTCGACAGATGAACATTTTACAAATTATTTAAGACATAAAAAAGATCTACAGCTTCTTTAGTATTATAATATCCAATAATAACACATTTTAGACAATAAAACACAAATATTGATTCTTAGCAATTAAATATGCAACAATATCAAATTTTATAAATGAATCTTGTTTAATTTTCAAAAAAATAAGAAAAGCCATATCGTGGTAACGAAACTCTGCTGGCTGGCACAATTTTCCCATTACCCCAAAGAATTTTCACAGGCCACAATTTGAAAAAAAGAAGAAAAACGCATACAAATTTAATTATTACCTCTATTTTTATTCATGTATCTAAATCTACACATATTTATCTCTAATAAAATTACAAAACATAATTAAATAATAAATTTTTAACCATTTACTTTAATCTCCGGAAATATTTTCCATTTAAGAAGAAAAACTCGAAAACTTGATTTTTCCTTGTAGTTTCTACAAATCTGTCAAAAATGTGACCGTTTGTCTGCGTATGACATACAGGAAGATTGTTCAAGTTTTCCGAGTTATTTCCACGAAATTTAAAGTCTCTGTGTACTTGAAATTTAAAAGCTCCCATTACCCCACCTTCCCCTAAATCATATAATTAGAAAATTTTTATTCCTATTTTTCTGAATATGAATAATTTTTCCATTTTTCCATTTAATGCAAATATTTAAATAACATTTTTAAATTAATTTTAAGTAGTTTTTTATTACGATTTTATTATACGATTCGCTATGAGCGGAAATTGTTGATGATAAATTTTAAATATTAAATTTTCTTATTTAAAAATAAGTGCAAGATAAATACTGTTTTAATATTATCATTTATTAAATTCAATTTACAATTGTTTCGTGTACATTTTTCTTTTTCACCAAACAAAATACAAATGACTAAAATTTTATAAGATTTTTAAATTTTAAATATATGCGTTTAGTGATAATTATTCTCTTTTTTTTAAATTGTAGAAATATTTATACATATAGAATATATAGATCTCAAAATTAATTGTTATCATATTAAATTTCATCGAATTCTATAGAAAAGTGCGATCGGGCGTCTACTGCCTTAATTCACAAGTAGTAGAATTTTCTGGGTAATCCCACTCAAAATCAGCCACGCATGTAAAATTAGAGTGTTATCGCTAAAACAGATAATATATATTTACAATACAAGGAAGTTTTTAAATAATGTTTCTATGAAAAATTTAGATAATTCGCTCGTAAGTAAAAGGTTTCATTATAGATAAACGAAAATCAAAATTTCAAATTTGATTTGTTGTTTATGTTTGCATACTTTAGTTTATTAAGCTACTAAAAATCAAATGATTTTAAGAGCAAGGAAAAATTTTGACTAAAATAATAAATTACAGGCAAAATTATTAAAATTAAATAGTTTATTATGAGAAAAAGAATTTGAGGAATACTTACGTTGACAAGAATTAAAATCATTTTCAGTCCAACTTCCATTAACGCATTTCAGTTCAAAATTCTAGGAAAATTTTTTTATAAATGAAAATTTTTTAACGTATAAATCATTAAAATAAATAAAATGTAACCAAGATTTTATTGAAATTTTTTATGTATAGTATAAAGTTAATTTTTAAATTTGTAAAATTGGCAAAAAAAAGTGACAAATTACAATTATTTTGAACTTACATTACGAAATTTATCAACCCTCCCCAATTCATTCGTTTTGTTATAGTAATAATTTGGATTGCAGTTTATTTCAGCAAGGTTACCATTATTATAAAATGTAACTTCGGCATTTTTATACTTAAACGGGGGACAGTTGAATGTTGTTGTTAATTTACAAAATTTTAAGAGGACTTTGTGGACATAATTATCAAAACACATGTCTCGAGGGTGTCCAATCAGTGTGTAGTTTTTCTCGCAACTGTAACCTATGAATACGTAACCGCCAAAATTAATTATCCCTACCGTTCCATTGAAATCCCCTCTTTCTATTAAACATTCATCTAAAAAAATTATATAAGATATTATTCTATAGAAGGGTATGTTGGATCTCACTCAATTATTATATATAGTATCGTAATTTGAATGTACGTGGTTTATATGTCATGTATCGTTTTCATGCATCGACGATTTAAGGATTGATTAACTATATCCCTTTGATAATATGTGAAGAAACTCGCATGCATTCAAATTTAGATATTACACCGAAAAAAAATATTTTTGTATTCAGAGAAAAATTCCTCTTACAGAATCCTCTTGAATTTTATTCTTAAAACAAGAGTATTACTCTTTAAATGAGAATATTTTTCTTTAATTTCAAGAGGATCGAAACAAAAGGACTATTCTAGATCATTCCTCTTATATTCAGAATAATCTTTTTAGAATAAAAATAATACTCTTAGAATTTAGAATAATCTTCTATGTTTAAGAATATTCCTCTAAATTCTAAGAGGATTTCCCATTAATAGTCGCTCATGCGCAAAGATCATTGCGTCATAAATCGCATATCATGCGTGAAAAAGTTTTAGTTTCTGTGTGAAAAAGGGGAATAAACCAAAATGGATAATAATCTTTTAAATATCTTGATAGAGTTGCAACTTACACAATACGTGCCTATTTTTGAAGGTAAAAGAAATTTTTAAAAGTAATTTTTAAGAAAATTTAAATAATTTTGAGGTTATGCTATTTAAACTTTTATTTTATTACGATTTTTATTTATTTTAATTTTATTTGAAAATTTATTAAGAGGAATAATTTTACATAGAGGACAATCCTCTTAAACCTAGAGGACATCCTTTTGCAGCATATACTAGAGGAAAATATGCATTGAAATAAGAGAAATCCTCTTGAAACAAGAGGATTTTTTTTTCGGTGTTGACGACAACCGAAGTGAACAGACGCAAACAAGAATTGTATCAAAGATTTAAAATATATTTCTACAATATTAAAAGATAATATAGTGTGTTTCTTTATCCACTACGAGTTAACCAAGAGTGAAAAATACTTTTTAAACCTAAACAACATTTTACAGGGTATATATATATAGTTCTATCAACGAAAGAAGAAAATTATGTTAAATTTGAAACAATTTTTTTTTTCATTTTAGTTCTCACAAACAAACAGACAGATGTCTTATTTTAAGACACTTTTGTCCTGAGTTTTAAGACATTTTATAGTGTCTTAGATTTCGACCAATGATGAAACGTCTTAGAAATTTTCCTAACCAACGGATCAAATCGATATAATTTTAAAACGTCTCCTAAGTGTCTTATTTCTTAAGAAATAAGACTTAAAAATTAAGTTAAGTCTTAAAAATAAGTTTTTGCTAAATCTTTTATTTGAAATAATATTCTTTCAGGGGTTGTTTATCCCTATCTACCCTCCGGACAAATTTTTTTTACATTTCTTAATATTTTACAACTCTTACATTTAATTATTTTAAGCACAGAAAAATGAAATGTAAAGCGAAAAATTATATCATTTTGAACGAAAAGTTCATTTTGACTTTATAGATTAAGAAGATTATTTCTGAATTTAAGACTTTATATATTGTAAAATATGTTAAAAAGAAATTTTTTCAAGATACAACCCAACCTCTTTATAAACTATCTCTTTATAAGCTTCAAGCTGTACTCGACCCGGTAAGAAGCGAGAAATAGAGAAAGATTGAAATTCTTCATATATTAAGCGTAAGTTGATTATTTTCAATTATTCTGAATAGGCGAATTTACGTTTTTACCCAATTTCCCAGTAAACATATAAATATCAAAAAAATGAATTCTTTTCTATTCCCAGTACAGATAAGTCAATAGAAAAGAATTCAAACTTCCTATTTTTCTTAATACGCAAAGTTTTTTATTTTCAAACTTTTTGGAAGCGAATAGAAACAAATTAAATGTTTGGAGAGTAAATTTTAAATGTCTATTCCTTTCAATCGCCAGCTTCAAAATTTCCAAAGCGTATTGAAAGGAATAAGAAATTTTGAAAAGTAATGTACATGTGGTTATTTTTATAAATTGACTATAGCTCAGGCCATTTGGAGCGCATTTAGAGGAATAGAAAATGTGAAGAATAAATGAGGCATTTCTATGTTTTACAATTGACTGCATCAGGTTATATGTATAATTTAGAATATAAATTTTGACCAAGTCAATTAAGAAGAATAGATTTTTCTACTTTTATTTGCTTCATCGAGGAATTGAATAAAAACGTAAATTCATCCATTTAAAAGAATTGGAACTCTGAATTCTTTTCAATTATTCGCTTCTTACCGGGGAAACATACATACCACCTTTTCCATTAGTTACAGTTTCTCTAGATTGGACATTTGCAATAAAGAGCATAATACAAATCATGAAAATCCATTTATTTATATTAAAATAAATCATTTTTATTATTTCAGGAACTGAAATTGTTGAATTTTAATTTGAAGCAACTGTATGGAAGAAAAAATACGTTCATAAATTTACGATTTGGGAAAATACAAATTTATGTATAGAGAAAAAAAAAATAAATAATAAGTAAATTTCGTCTAGAATGATGGCTTGAGATTTATATTTTACTAGCGATACACAGAAAAAACCTAGTCTCATTTTTGTTGCAAATCAAAATGAGCCAATGCTAAACGACATAGACAGTGGCGCCACCAACCTGGTTCATTTTTGTTGCACATCAAAATGAGCCTTCTACATGGTTCATTCTGAGTTCAGTTTTTTTCTGTGTATACATATCCCACTCTTGCAGACGCTCACTCCACTTAAAGTTGTACTTTTTATTCTTTACGTATTGTAAGGTGTATCAAGTTAGAAAAACAACTTTCGTAAAATCAAAAATCTCATATTGGAGAATTTGCCGCTAATTATTCGTGAAATTCCCAATTTTGCCGTTTTTGATTAAAAAAAAAAAAAAAAAACAGGGTGCACTGCTAACTTGATGATTAATGAAAACTACAAGAAATATTGTTTAGAAAAAAAATTATAGAATTTTTAATTTTAAAAAATTATTTCTTTTAAAATCGTATATTTTTTGCGTTTTTCAGCTTCGTTTAAATAAGTCGTTTTCGACTTACTAATTATATTAAAACGTGTCGGTTTCATAAGTTTAGTGTAGCGTACAACACTTGAGAACGAAAAAATCGAGTTTCAATTAAAAAAGTTGTACCAGTGACAACAAAAATAATTTTGAAGATGAATGAATAAAAATTTTAGAAAATTCTGATAGAATATTGTGAAGTTTAGTGTCATTTTTAAATATTTTGAGAAACTAATTGTGGGATTTGATTACGGCAAAATCATGTGTGTTCTCTCTTAATTTGAATCAGTGAAATTTCACTGGTGAAATAGCTAGAAGTCGGTTACTGAATCATTTAGTGAAATTTTCACTGAAAATCAGTCATATATCACTGATTTCCAGTGAAAATTTCACTAAATGAATCAGTCAATCTGTATTATCGGTAATGGGTAAAACAGATTGACTGATTCATTTAGTAAAATTTTCACTGCAAATCAGTGATATATGACTGATTTTCAGTGAAAATTTCACTAAATGATTCAGTAACCGACTTCTAGCTATTTCACCAGTCAAATTTCACTGATTCAAATTAAGAGAATTCAGATTTTTTTATCCTTTCGTTTACAGTGGTTGCACTGCTAACTTGATATCAAGTTAGCAATGCACCCTGTTTTTTTTTAAAAAAATCGAAAACGGCAAAATTGGGAATTTCACGAATAATTAGCGGCAAATTCTCCAATATGAGATTTTTGATTTTACGAAAGTTGTTTTTTTAACTTGATTCACCTCGTATAGTAGTATATTCATTGAATATTTAATTTATATTCTTAATTATAATTTAAGGATTACATATATGCGATTTCACGTGAGATTTCCCCCCTCTAAAATTTATCCATTTTAACCGATTGGACTGAAACTTAGTATACATATGAGAGATTCTTTTTCAATCGCCCCAGCCCAAAAAGTCAATGTTCTGGGATTGGCTTCATATTTTGGTAAATTGTTGTCCTATATGATAGTAATAAATCCCTAAAATATAAACTCATTAAAAAAATATTTGTAGAAAGTAGAGGGGGTTGAAGTTTTGACGTTAAGGGTAACATTGTCATTTTCAAATCCGTATAACTATGACAAAAGTTAATGGATTTTAATTTATCTATAATGAATTTTAATGCATTTTTCACGTACTTTTCAAAAATGTATACAAAATTAAAAAAAAAAAAAATTTGACCCCTTTTTTCAAAATCAACCCTTATTTTTCGATTTTCACCCCTTCGGGTATTTTTTTTTCTTTTTTTTTATTTTCATTGGAAAGCTGAGGTTTTTTCCCATGAGCTATGTAAATATGAAAGTGGGACAACAATAATTTTGTGAGAAACAGAATATCAACCCCCTCTACTTTCTACAAATATTGCTTCCTCGTGGAGGAAGCTATGTAGTCCTTTCGTTTATAAACTTTTTAAAAATGGTGAAAACAAATTTTCCTCTATATAGAAACATGTTATATGAGATCCTGATCAATTGTCCGGATGTATGTGTGTGTGTGTATGTGTGTTTGGATCGTTTTTGTGAACACGATATCTTTAACAGGTTTTAATGGATTTGGATAAAATTTGGTAGGCTTATTTAACACATTAATCTCTCAAAAATGACGAGAGGATTTTTAAAAATACCCAAAAAAAAAAATTTTATCGTCTTTTTTTTCGATTTTAAATCGAAAAAATTAAGGTAATATATAATATAATCGTCTTCTTTATGTCAAGATGAATCGATTGATATATATAAAGTATAGATTTGATTGAAATTTAAAAAATTAAAGAAAGTTAAAAAATCAAAAATTCTCATTTTAGCTAAAAAATGATGTGTTTATTTAAATTCATGTTTATGTATGAAATAATTTTATTCCCTGCATTGAAACGAATTGGTTGGTATATATGAAGTATAGATTTGATTTAAAATTTGAGAATTAATAAAAATTGAAAAATTGAAAAATCGAAAATTCATATTTTAGCTAAAAAATTTTTTGTTTTTTTTAAACTCAAGTTGATGAATAAAATAATTGTATTCCTTGCATTAAAACGAATCGATTCGTATATATAAAGTTTATGTTACACTCAAAATTAATTAAAATTTTCTTTATTTTTCAAAAAATTTAATTAATTTAAAACATTTTTAACTCGAAATTTTTTAAATCAATCAATTGAATTGGACAAATTCATTGCTTCCTTCACGAGGAAGCGAATTTTTTGCTTCACACAATGAGGAAGCATAATGTTTATGAAATAAACATAAAGGACCCCCTCCTTGTTTTTTTAATGAGTTTCAGAATCCTTATGAAATCTTATATGATTTCCTATGCTTAAATCTATTTGTTTTATCATTTAGAAGAATGCACATGAAATCGTATTCCATTTCCCATATGGATTCCCATATGGTGTCCCATGTGGAATCCCATGTGGGTATTTTCGATAAGGCGAAAGAGGATTTGACATGGGAAAATTTTTCAAAAAAATGATAAAGGATTTCACATGGGAAATGACATGGGAAAATTTTTCAAAAAAATGATAAAGGATCTCAATTAGTATTTAACATGGTATTTAACATGATATTTGACGTGGGATTTGACATAGGAAATGAGGAACCTTTTTTTGATATTTTCCTATGCCAATTCCTGTCCCAATTTCCCATGAGGATTTATATGGGATCCCATGTGGTTTCCCATATGGGAATGGGATTTTACATAGGATCCCATGTGGTTTCAGAATTATCAGAATTATCGTAGTAGTAATGATCAATTCCTTCAAGAACGAAATTTTGATTGCATCTTACTAATACAACGTAAGGACGAATATTTTCAAGTTTTGCGTTACTAATTTCGAATGGCGGATGTTTAGGAAGTATACCTAAGACAGATAATATATTTATAATACTATATATTTAAAATATAAGGAATTTTTTGAATAATGTTTCTATGAAAAATTTAGATAATTGTCGTAAGTAAAGATTTCAGTCTAGATAAACGAAAATTAAAAATTGATTTGTTTTAGTTACATCTATTGAACAAAATTCACCTAAAAAAATTATATAATTATTCTATATATAGAAGGGTATATAGTTCTATATAAACGAAAGAAGAAAATTAAGTTAAATTTGGCAAAATATTGTTTGATTATTCAAGTTCTGTCAAATAGGTATTAAGTTCAAATAATACAGAATATTTTATTAACCAAAAACAGAAGAAAAAGATGGAACTGCAAACCAATTCCAAAAAGTAAGATTATAATTTAAGATTTATTTTTAATATTAGTAAAACTTGAACATTAATTGTTCATATTCTATTGTTAACTTTCGTTCAACTATAGCGAAACTGTTGTCAATGTTTGAAAATATGGCATAATCTCATATAGTTTTTTTTTTTTTTACATTTATTTATTTTTTTTAGAATTAGATTTAGTATATTACGCAATAAGTTAGTTTTAGTTATATATATATATAATTATTGGTGGTCCTTATTTAAATTTTTTTTTTTTTGAATTTCTATGCTCCCAGAGACTTATTATGATACAAAATAAATAAAATAGATAAATATTGTATTTACGCAAAATTTCATGGCTCTGTCACGTCTCAGAACGCGATGATAAAATAAATGTTGCTAGGTTTTAGTCGTCTCGAAAGGGGTTTTGGTCATAGTTTTTGAAAAAAATGAAAGTTGTAATATATAAAAAATTTTAAACTAGGGCAGCGACTGTCACCACTTCGCGTATTTTTTTTTTTTAGAGTCGGCCGCGAAGATCCGACTTTCCTAATCTAATTTATACTAAAAATAGAGAATATTCTGAGACGGTTAAATTCTCCCTTCTTTATGATTTTAAAAGAGAGGAGGAGGTGTTATTTTACCTACTCTTTCGTTGTTCCTTCTAGAAGATACGAAGATAATTAATCCAAATTTGAAGCTTGTGAGTCCGCAGTAGAAATTCCAAAAGTGTTTTTTCTTTCTATATTTTTTTTTTGATACTCCAAACTGTCTTTAGGCTGAAATGTTTTAAAACTATTTTCTTTATCCCCTTTTATATATAACACAATGTATCGTTCAAAATTTATTTGACTTATCAAATCTTACAGTATTCAGAAAAATTTCTCGACAATTATATATGTGACCGACTTGAGAATAAAAAGGGGACTAACTGTTTGCTGTGTGTCTAGCGACAGCGTTACTGGCTAAGGTGGAGAACTTCCCCCGCTTTGTTACTTTTTTCTCACGACTTTAGTTGCTGATGTATGCTTTTTCTTTCAGCGCTCTACATTTTGTCTTTTATAAGTTCACTTCGAATTATATATTAATATATATAATATTAATATTAAATTATTAAATTATTAAAAAATTTATGCGATGATGACTCTAGTGAAGACAGTTGTAATGATAATTTTCCTCTTTTACAATATAAAAAAAATCTAAATAACGAAACTCCAAAGAAAAATCAAACTTCTCCCACTTCATCATTCTCCGAAGATTTGGATTTTTTAAAAAATGAAACAAAAATCACGGAGAATAATAATAATAATAATAAAAATAAGCGAAAACTTTTTACTTCGTTAAATGAAAATATTGAAATTCCATCAGTGAAAATTGACATTGATTATAATGAGGAAAATTATGAAATGCAACAAAAATCAATGTCAAATTTTAAAGAAAAATTTTCAATACATTGTCGAAATGTAAAAAAATCATTTATGAATATATTCCCAAAAATTGATTTATGCGAAGAAAAATGTCTTAATGCAAATTATTTGAGTCAAAATGATGCTCTCGATATAACAAAACATTTACAAAATATTCTCAAAGAAATTGAAATGAAAATTCATGAAAATTCACAAAAAATCGATAAAACCTATCAATCATGGTCAAGAAATTGTAGTCCCTCTTTGAAAGTTATGAAAAAAATTAAAAACCACAAAGAAAAGGACAATATTATCAATGAAAATGAGACAAATAAAAAAATTGTTATGGAATCGGAAAAAATTGATCATAGAAACAATAGATACAAAAAAAATATAATCTCTTCCGACACTGAAAGCGATGAGATATTATCGCAAAACAACAATTTTTCACAAAGAAAAAATATGAAGAAACAAAAAAATCAATTTCAAAAATTGAATGAAAAATCAATGTCATTGAAATTAAAAAACTTTTCATCAGCATTTAAAACAATAAAAAAATCATTGAATATTATTAATTCAGTTATTGATATTTCGGATGATGAAAGAAACAGTGATTCTGATATTCAAGAATTGGAGGAAAATAATTCACCAAAAATGAAATTAAAATTTCCATCTGATTCAGATAATGATGAAGAAATAAATTCCATGAGTGAATCAAAATTAAGAAAAATTGGAGAATTTCTTTCAAATTCTGAAATTAAAGAAAAGGCGAAAACAGATTTAATTGAGTTTAACGACAATTCGGAAAATGAGATAATATTAGCAAATACAGAGGGTGAAAGTGAAAATAAAATTGAGAAAATTAAAGAAAATGCTTTAAGGGAAAAATTGGTATCAAATGAATTGGAAAATAAATTATCTTTACTTGAAGAAACAAAGGAAACAACAATTGAAGATACTTTGAATGAAGTGTCGAGGAAGAATTTAAACGACATTGATGAGAAAAAATTAATATCACCACATGAGAAACTAAAAATGTCATCTTACGTAATGTTAGAAATACTTGATGAAAAATTACTGGGAAATCAGTTGAAAACAAAGAAAAATCTCTCTACTTCCATTATTGTTATTGGTAAGTTTTTTTCTTCAGTATCTCTATTAAAATTTGAAAACGAAAACAAATTTTTAACTAAAATTTTTCATTAAATTAATTATTTTCAAATTTTAATAAAATTCATCAAAACTTCAATTATCTAAAAATATTATTTTAATTAAATATTTCTAAAAATTCAATAAATGAAATTTCTAAAAAAAAAAAAAAAAAAAAATAATTTTCAACAAATAAAATTACCGAAAATTTCAATTCAAAATCAGCTATAACAATTATTTACAAAAAAAAAAAATCTCAACTTAATAATTTAATAATAATAATTTTTTTAAACCAATAATTTCTATCAAGTTATTCAAAAAATTATTAAAAATATTTTTTAAATAAAAAATTTTTGTAAAATTTAATTATTCTTAGGAATAAAAAAAAAATCTTCATCAATTAAAATGTTCAAAAATTTTTAATTTTTCGAACTTCGAATTATTTCTACAAAATTTTATTTAAAAAAAACCTTTTAAAATTTAATTATTTTTAAAATTTTTGATAAAATATTTTCTGAAATTTAATTATTTCTGGGCTTCAAAGTGTTTCCCCTATTTTTCCTCTTTTTTTAAAAAAATTCTCTCCTTTTTTATGAATAGGTTTTCCCTATTTTATGCTGAAACTCGAATATTATTTAATAAATATTTATATATATTTAATAAAAATTATTATATAATAATTTGTTTTTTTTTGAATAGTAATCTTATGACGTGTCAAATTTTGACAATTCTTTTTCTCATTTTTGCCAAAGTTGTATAATTGTGTTTCCAAATTTCGGAATAAGTTTCTTTAAAATTCCAAATTCGAAAATTCAATTCCCGAAGCTGAAGTACAGTGAAATTCTACGGTAAACTACGTGGGGGAGGGGAGGGGTTCGAGCCATGACTACGTAGTTGTATTTATTAAGTAATTTATTTTGATATTTTTTAAATTGCGCGGGTAATTCCAATGTCGAATTGAGCGATATATGAATATAAAGTAGAATTTTTGTAAAATTAAATATGTATAAATTATTTTAAAATGATTATTATAAACTTGATGAAAATAAGAAAAATAATTGGGTCTCACGAATAATATGCCATGAAAATTATAAAATTGCATTTTTAGTGTTTCGAAATTACCTGCTTTTAGAAATATTACTTAATCAAAAGAAATTAATGCAAACAATATTGTAAACAAATTTTTATTAATTAAGAATTCTACAATTTACTAAATTTTCATTCATTGAAATTTTTAATTAGCTATATTTTTATTTATCATAATTATTAGAATAAATTTCACTTTGTCGATTTTGCTGCCAAAAAAAAAATGGTAAATACATTATTATTTCATTTTAACAAACATATTTCACTGGTAAGAATGTTTCAGAAAAACTTATTTTTATTAGAATTAATTTTTAATAGACATTAAAAGTTATGTAATGTTAATATTATTAATTAATTATACTATACTATATAATTTGAAAATTATATAACGTAAAATTTTCATTAAAAGTAATTTTTTCTTATTAAAAAACAGGTGTAATATTCTTACAGATGAAATTTTTGTTAAATAAAATTTAAATCCCTTCAGGAATTAAAAAGTGTGTAAAAGCATATTTAAGAGAATTTAATTTATTGAAAAAATCATTAGTATAAATTATTTATTATTATTATTATTTATTTATTATTATTTTATTATTATTTATTATTATTAGTATAAAAAATTAAAATTAAAATTCCTTATGTGTTCTTAAATTCAATTCTCTTTATTGGAAATTGTTATCTATACAAAAGAAATACATTTTTAAATAAGTAAAAAAAAACTACGTTCTACCAGTGGAGGGGGGGGGGTTAGAGCGAAAGTCTACGTTGGTCTACATGGGGGGAGGGGGGGTCAAAAAGTGCCAAAAATTGGGCTACGTGGTTTATGGACGGCCCCACACAAATACAAAAAATTTATGATGAGAAAAAAGATGCGCCAGGAAATTTCGTACAAGATAGTAATTTGAAAAAAATTTATTTTTAAAAATTAATTTTTAAGGTACCAGGGGCCAACGAATACCTATTAAATATTAATTATAAAAACACAGGCCTCGAATCAACTTAAAGACACAAAAAGTCGTTTCAGTCGATTTATATTCCAAAAAAGTGGATTTGTTTTTTATTTTAACAAAAATATTTTAGATTTTTAAATAAAATTTTTTTTTTTTAAATAATAATCCTTTTCGAAGGGTTAAAGTTGAAATTTTTAGAAATAATTAAATTTCAAAAGATATTGTTAATTTTCAAACAATTATTAAATTTTACAGAACTAAAAATAATTTATCAAACAATTTTTGGAAAATATTTTTTAAATTTAATTGAATTTTCAAAGATTTAAAATTGAGATTTTTGAAATTAATTGAAACTTTAACTGTTTTGTAATTAAAATTTTAGATGATTTCACTAAAAATTTATTAGAAAATGCGGACAAAATACAATAATTTGAAAATCATTTTTAATTGAAAAGTGGTTTCAGATAGTTGAATTTTCAAAGAATATTATTAAAATAGTTAAAAATAATTGAATTTCCTTAGAGTTATAATTGAAATTATTAAATTTGAAAAAAAATAAATTTCGATGGAAAATTTTAGAAATAATTAAACTTTAGATGCTTTTAAATTCAAATTATTGAAAATTCAATTAATTTTGAATTCAAATTTTGGAAAATAATTGAATATTAGTTAATTTTGAATTGAAAATTTGGAAAATAATTGAATTTCAGTTTAAATTTTGGAAAATAATTGAATTTTAGTTGATTTTGAATTGAAATTTTCGAAAATTATTGAATTGAAAATTTGGAAAAAAATTGAATTTTAGTTGATTTTGAATTGACATTTTCGAAAATTATTGAATTTTAGTAGATTTTGAATTGAAAATTTGGTAAATAATTGAATTTTAGTTGATTTTGAAAATAATTGAATTTCAATTTAAATTTGAAAAAATAATTGAATTTTTATTGATTTTAAATTAAAAATTTTAAAAATAATTGAATTTCAGTTTAAATTTTGGAAAATAATTGAATTTTAGTTGATTTTGAATTGAAATTTTCAAAAATTATTGAATTGAAAATTTGGAAAATAATTGAATTTTAGTTGAATTTTAATTGACATTTTCGAAAATTATTGAATTTTAGTAGATTTTGAATTGAAAATTTGGTAAATAATTGAATTTTAGTTGATTTTGAATTGCAAATTTTGAAAATAATTGAATTTCAATTTAAATTTGAAAAAATATTTAAATTTTTATTGATTTTAAATTAAAAATTTTAAAAATAATTGAATTTAAGTTCATTTTGAATTGAAAATTTTGGGAATAAATGAATTTTAATTGTAATTTTTGATAATAATTTAATTGAAGTTCATTTTTGATTGAAAATTTGGATAATTAATTTTGAATAGAAATTTTAGAAAATAATTGAATTTTATTTCATTTTAAATTGAAAACTTGGTAAATAATTAAATTTTAAATTGAAAATTTTGGATAATTATTGGATTTTTAATTGATTTCGAATTAAAATTTTGGGTAATAATGGAATTTTAGTATATTTTGAATTGAAATTTTAAAAAAATAATTCAATTTTATTGTGATATTTTTTTAAAATTATAAACAATTGTTAAATTTCATAAAAATTTTAATTGAAAAATAATTTTGATATAATTGAATTTGTGATGTATTTCATTAAAATGATTAAAAATAATTAATTTAGTGAAGAATCATTTTAGTTCAAAATTTGTTAAATAATTGAATTGAAGAAGATCTGAAGAAGATCTACATTTTATACTAAAAAATTGTATTTTATTTACATTTTTTTTCATATTTAAAAAAAATTGTCGCATTTTATTAAAATAAGTCGATAAAAGTCGTATTTTTGAAAAAAGTCGGAAAAAGTCGTATAATCCGAGGCCTGTAAACATATAATTTTCATTATTATCATTTAATATGTAATAATATTCTAATAAATTAAATTATTATTAAAAATATTAATCTTTAATTTCTTTATAACAAACAATTAAATACTCTATTTGGCGTGTTTGCGCGCGTTTAATTTTGCTAGTATTTAATAATATTTAATAAAAATCCAAATTTGAATCAAAATATTACAAGCCTCGGATTGGAAATTTTTTGTTCATCAGAAAATTTATTAAAATTTTTTTTCTAATTAAATTTAAAATTTCAGTTTCTTTGAAAAATACGAATAAAATTAAGTTTTGTATATTTTACAAGACGGTTTTCGGTTTGATAAAATAAAAATTTTTTTGGTATTTTTCAAGAAAAAAATTAGTTTAGAAGTAATTTTCGTTTTGTGAAAAATTAATTTTAAAAGACGTTTATATTTATTAGATGTATGTAATTCAAATTTTTATAAAACATTGAAAATAACAGTAAAAAAAATTAATTACTATACTGGGAAAATCTCTCCTTTAAATCTAACTTTTATCTATAAATTTATCATCTTTCATTTATAATCCTTCAAAAAAATTCAAATATTTAAATTTTTTTAAAAAATATTATCTTAAATTAATTGGATAAGAATTAATTCATTTTTTTAAGTGAAATATTTGCTTTTTTAAAATATAAATAAAAATTATTTGATACAATTTTATTTTATCGATTCAACTTGAAATAAAGTAAATTATTCATTAATACGAATAATTTATTTTTCAATTCTAATACCCACATTTAATTTATAAAAATTTTTACGCCGTTGAATATTAAATTATCGAATTCCTTTTTAGCAAAATTGTATAAAGTGAATTTTATATTATGCAAAAATTTTAATTTACATTTAACTAAAATTTGATTTCAAAGAATTTCTATTTAGCAGAACTCTTATAAAGCATTTTTTCTAATACTTTTTAAAAATTTTAAATTAATATAATTTCAATTTAACCAAATTTATGTCTATAAAAATTGACAAAAAAAAGAACTAAGTAGAATTTTTCTTAAATGAGAATTCTGTTAAATAAGAATTAGTTCGCATTAAAATTTTCTTTAATAAAAACTTTGTTAATTAAGGAATTTTGTTAAATAGAAATTCTAAAATAACAATTCTATTAAAAAAATATTTCTTTAAGCAATTTTTCTTGACATAAATTCCGTTAAATTGAAATTTTATTAATTTGAAATTCGATGTACTAGAAAATTTGCTTTATATAATTTTACTAAATAAAAATTTGTTAATTTAAGATTTGACGCCGTAAAAATTCTTTTAAATTAAATGTTGAGAATATTTATACGTCCCCAATTAGTTTATTTATTTCACTTAAATATTTTATTTTTTACGAACATTATTTATTTGGTCGAAATACATATGAAATTAGTAGATAATAGACAGGTAAATGATTTAATTGTATCAAAATAAATTTTATTTGATCAAAATAAAAATTTTTTAGTGTAATTCAGGTCAGGGAATTTTTTTCCTATCAGTTGTTAGATATCCTTTTATTATATTATCTATTATACTATTATATTATTATAATTCTATTATATTCATGATTTGCAATGCTTTTTTAATAATTTATAAATAGAAAATATTAATTTTCCTTATGAAAGAGAAAAATCTTATGATAAAAAATTTGAACTAGATGATAAAACATTTATTTTATTATATATTTATATTTTATAGTCTCTATGACTTAATTTTTCTTTTTTTTTTAAATTAAAATTAACCAATGATTTCTTGACATCAGAGTAAAAAAGATAACAATACAGAAACTAACGTTTTTTTATTTTATTTTCTTTAAAAAGATGTCACGAATTTTTTTTAGTGTTTTGTTTACAGAAAATATAAGAAACATGTAAGAAACATAAAACAAGTTTATGTAATTTTTTAAAGTTGCGACGTTACGATAGTGTGGTTTATCATCCTCCTCAGGCTAATTTATTTAAAAACACCAAAAATTAACAAAATCCAGAATACAAAAATAATAACAAAATTTAAAATATTTTAATTTATATTATTGAAAATAAACAATTTATCAAAGATATTTTTTATTTGTTTCAAATGAATATTAAAAGCATTGAATCATAAAAATAAAAATACAAATAAAAAAATGTTTGGTAAAATAATTTTAATTAATTCTAAGCAACTTCTTTTTTTAAATTTGATTTTATTTTATTGAATTTATGAAATTTTATATTTGATTTATTAAAACAAATATATATATATTTTTTTTTCTTGACAAATTAATTTTTTTATTTTTAAATAATAAACAAAAAATTACTACCCGTGTGGAAAAGTGATGTGGGCCCCCAGCGGGGGCCCTTATGGATCGCCCTCATGCCATGAGGGCCGCATATGGATGATCCATAGGGGCCCCTCATGGAAACGACATGCTCATCGATGAGGGCGCCCGCATGGGCGATCCATGAGGGTGCCCCTACGGGCGCCCTTATGGGCCCTCACGTTTGCCCTCATCTTGCACTCAAGTTTGCCATAATGTTTTTTAATCAATAATATTAATAATAAAAGTTAATTAATAATAAATAAGCTTAAGTTATGAATAAATAACATATTTATTTAATAATTATTCAATTTTAAATTAAATTCTTACTCAAATTGAATTTATTAATTAACGTTCTAATTAATTAACTGTCGGATATAATTAAAAGTAATAATAAATTAATTAATTAAAAAATTAAAAAATATGTAATTTATGCATACTATTAACGGATATTTTCATTTTTCAATTAATTCATACATAGAATTAATGATTAAACGCAAACCTGAGAAATAAATAAATCTAACGCATGGGGGGAATCGAACCTACGACCTACGGACTATGAGTCTAACGCTTTACCAACTACGCTACGCACGCTACTTCAAAACGAATGCTAACTTCTTGATGCTATTTAAACTTCAAAAATACCTAACAAAGAAAAGTGCTTAACATCATTTAGTTAAAGTTAAGATATTAAATTATATTTTCCAATCAAATGCAATTTATAAAATATAATTAATTATATGCTTTATGATTATTATCATGAATCATCTCAGGCGAATTTTCAAAAAAGTGTAAATATATTTTTATTAAAAACGCGTTTTTCGTTGTTTTGAATCATTGGAAACATTCATTTTTTGTTGATAAAAAAATATTTGATTTTTGGACTTAGAAAATTTTGCTAATCGATCATAAGGGCGATCCATTCGCCATATGGATCAGCCCTCATGGGCCCCCGCCGGGGGCCCCGAACTCTTGAGGGCAAGATCGTGGCTTTTTCCACACGGGTATTGTTATATTTATAATGAAATATTATTAAATATTAAATATAAAATATTAATATTAAAATCTTTGGTTTCAGATAAATAGCAATTTCTACCTGTCAGCTTGAAATCATTAATTTATGAATTCAAAATCGAGAATTTATTCTCAATGTCTTTGGATTAATACAAACCTTGTGGAAAATTCAATAAGTCTACCAAAATCAACGCAAAATCCAATCTTCATGGAATTGTCGTCGGATTAAATTTATTCGAAAGAAAAAAATTATTTATCGTTTTCAATTTTTATTTTTTAATTTCCAAATTTGATACAAAAAATTTCAATATTATTCGTCATTCTCTTTCTATTTATTAATCAGTGAAAAATTATCCCTTTTCTTAATTTTTTCATTGCTTTTCAATTTCTTTATGTTCTTTTCTAAAAAAAAAAAAAAACAAACAAATATAATTTTTTATTCAAAAGTATTTTTTTTTTCATAAATTTCTTAATTGAATATTTTTTTTTTTTAGAATATAATCATTGTTCTTAGTATACAAATAACAAAATTAAGGGCTTTCGATTGTAAAAAAAAAAAAAATATATATATATATATTTTAAATTTTTTGTTAAAAATAGAGAGAATTAAAAAACTCAAACAGTGCCATATTAAAAAAAAAAAAAAAATGTTTATTATGTCAAAATTCTACTGATTGTTCATCAAGCGAGTAAATTTTTCACGCTTTAAAATAAAAATGTTTTATTTGTATGTTTGTGCTTAATATTTTAATTTATTATTTAATTTTTAAATAAATTAAAATTACATAAGACTTTTTTTTACTCAATGTTTTATATATATATATATATATATATATATATATATCAGTAGAATTCAATTTACTTTGTACTATTTTTTTAAATCTTAAATTAATGTATGTTTTTTTGTATGTAAATAAAAATTATTTACGTTCTCATAAATTAAAAACAAATTTTTGTAAGGTTTTTTTTTCAATAAATTGTCTTTGTTATTGAAATTTTTTTTTTCTTATACCAAAAATAAAAAACTAATATTTTTCTACACTAAAAATAAGAAGAGGAATGTCATTAAAAAAAAAAAAAAAAAAATGTTGAGAGTATATGAAAAAAGCGATGAAAATTATTATTGAAAATCAAAGTCACTTTTGTGCGATAAATACATATTTGAAGTTTTAAATTAACATTTGAAAAAGAAACATTCAAACCTTAATATATATATATAATTTTTTTTTATTTTCATAGGTCTTATAAGAATTAAGTTCTAAAAATTTAAATAGCGTTTTTATCACAAAGAGCAAAAATTTATTTTCATTTAATAAGTACGACGAGAGATAATTTCTTTTCGTTATAGAAAAATGTTCATCGAATTTTTTGTTTTATGTTGCGATATTTTTTTTTTATCTTTATGAAAATTTATCTTTAGGATGAGAGTTAACTGTATTATGTTTGAAATGTTAAAAAAAAATTTTTTTAAATAAAAAAACCAAATTTTTGTATAGAAAAAAAAGTTCTATTTCTATTGCTTAGCGAACAATTATTATTAAATGTTTAATATAATTATTGTTTGTTTTTTTTTTTTTTTGAGAAGATGAGAGGTGATAATATATAGTTTCCTTAAAATAAAAATCAGTGAACAAAATGTAATAAAAAAAAAAAAAAAAAGTATTGTTATATTACCTTGAAAAGTTTGTGTATTGAAATTTTTCTATCATAACAAAAATCTTGTCAATCAAAACAAGTATTATATCTCCATTATTTTCTCTACACTTAAAAACTATACATAAACATGGAGATATGATTATTATTTCAAAATACCAAAAATAAATAAAAATTTTTTTTTTTAATCTAAAAATCTAAAAAAAAAAAAGAACAGAACAAACGAAAAACGAAAAGATTATCACTTGACATAATTAATACGAACAAACTATATTAACGATATTTTTCTTTTTTTTTTATTCTTCTTGACCGTTTGGGGACGATATCTGAAACAAACAAAAAGAAATCGTTAATAATTAAAGAAAAAAAAAAAATACGCTTCCCTGAAAGTGGAAAAATGTGTTTTTTTATGATTTTTTCATATAAACGATTAGTTAAAAAAAATGTTGAAGTTAAAAAGATATTTTTAATTTTTAAGGCGAAGGCAATATTTATTTAATTTAATTTTTTTATTAACCAAATTTCTCTTTAACTTACTTTTTATTTAAAAAAAAAAAATTCTAATTTAGCAGAATTCTTATTTAACAGAATTTTCACTTTTTAAGTGATTCGAATTTTTAAATTCTAAAACTTTTAATTCACATTTAACTTCATTTTCATTTGATAGAATTTTTGAAACGCCAAATTTTTATTTGTCCGAAATTGCAAATGACCAAATAAAAAAATAAAACAGAAAATTTTGTCACAAATTTTTAAAATTTAAATTAATTAAAATCTGGTTAATTTGAAACTTAAATCAATTAAAATTTAAATCAATAAAAATTCGAAAAATTAAAAACTCAAATCAATTAAAATTTGGACAAATAAAAATTCAAATAATTTGAATATTCAAATCAATTAGTTTTTTGATATTGATTGAAATTTCGTTAATTTTAATATTTTATCGATTAAATTTTGCATTTGACTAAAATTTCATTTAATAAATTTATTTTTACTAATAAAAATTAGAATTAATTGAAAGTTAGGTGCATTTGAAATTAACATTAAAATTTAAAATTAATTGAAATTTGAATCGATTAAAATTTAAATTAAATTAAAATTTGAATAGATTCAAATTAAAAAAAAGTGGAATTTTTTTTATTGATTGTTAGAATAAAAATTCTCTTTCATGAAAATTCGGTTTTTTTGTGAATCAAAATAATAGTTATGTTACATAAAAAATTCCGTTCAATTCAGTGAAATAAAAATATTTTTGCGTAAATATTTGAATAAGTTATAATTCGATTAAAGAAGATATTTGTTAAATGAAAATTCGATTAACTAGAGTGTCTACTACGTAAAAAATCGGCTAAATAAAAATTCAGTTACAAAAAAATTCAGATAAATAAAAATTGTATGAAAATTTAATTGAATATAAAATCTACTTTATAAAATTCTCTAAAATTAGAAATTCGATAATTTTTAATTCATAAATTCTTATAAGTTTAATGTGAGGACAAATTGTCCTCAGATTATTATTTAAAAAGTTTATTTAATTTTTTTTCATAGAACCAATACCTTAAATTTTATTAAGGTTTTTTTTATACATTTTTCTTTTTTTCTTTTTTTTTTAATAAAATGAGACATTTTCAATAAAAATAAAATTGTAAGATTAAATAAAAAAAGAAACTTACATCAATTACAGCGTGTCTTGCAGGAGTTCTGCTGGAGGATGTCATCTTCGATACTTGCTGTTGTTGTTTTAATTGTTGTTGTCTTTGCATATTTCGTATAATTTGTTGCTGTTGTTGATACTGATATTGTTGTTGTTGAATGTACGATTGCATTGCAAAAGACTGTAAATTATAATATCAATTTTTTTTTATCACAATTATATTATTTTTGAAGAAAAAAAAAAGTAAAATTTTTGTTTATCAATAAAAATTGAAAGTTGAAATTTAAATTTTTTCAAATTTGAACAGATTCAAATAGGAATAAATTGAATTTTTTTTTTTTTTTGTTCGAATTTAAGGAGCAAAAAAAAGTCGTTTTAGTCGATTTACATTCCAAAAAAAGTTGATTTTTTTATTTTAATTAAATTTAATTAGTTAATAAGCATTTTATTTTAAATAACTGAACAAAATACAATAATTTGAAAATCATTTTTAATTGAAAAGTGGTTTCAGATAGTTGAATTTTCAAAGAATATTATTAAAATAGTTAAAAATAATTGAATTTCCTTAGAGTTATAATTGAAATTATTAAATTTGAAAAAAAATAAATTTCGATGGAAAATTTTAGAAATAATTAAACTTTAGATGCTTTTAAATTCAAATTATTGAAAATTGAATTAATTTTGAATTCAAATTTTGGAAAATAATTGAATATTAGTTAATTTTGAATTGAAAATTTGGAAAATAATTGAATTTCAGTTTAAATTTTGGAAAATAATTGAATTTTAGTTGATTTTGAATTGAAATTTTCGAAAATTATTGAATTGAAAATTTGGAAAATAATTGAATTTTAGTTGATTTTGAATTGACATTTTCGAAAATTATTGAATTTTAGTAGATTTTGAATTGAAAATTTGGTAAATAATTGAATTTTAGTTGATTTTGAAAATAATTGAATTTCAATTTAAATTTGAAAAAATAATTGAATTTTTATTGATTTTAAATTAAAAATTTTAAAAATAATTGAATTTCAGTTTAAATTTTGGAAAATAATTGAATTTTAGTTGATTTTGAATTGAAATTTTCAAAAATTATTGAATTGAAAATTTGGAAAATAATTGAATTTTAGTTGAATTTTAATTGACATTTTCGAAAATTATTGAATTTTAGTAGATTTTGAATTGAAAATTTGGTAAATAATTGAATTTTAGTTGATTTTGAATTGCAAATTTTGAAAATAATTGAATTTCAATTTAAATTTGAAAAAATATTTAAATTTTTATTGATTTTAAATTAAAAATTTTAAAAATAATTGAATTTAAGTTCATTTTGAATTGAAAATTTTGGGAATAAATGAATTTTAATTGTAATTTTTGATAATAATTTAATTGAAGTTCATTTTTGATTGAAAATTTGGATAATTAATTTTGAATAGAAATTTTAGAAAATAATTGAATTTTATTTCATTTTAAATTGAAAACTTGGTAAATAATTAAATTTTAAATTGAAAATTTTGGATAATTATTGGATTTTTAATTGATTTCGAATTAAAATTTTGGGTAATAATGGAATTTTAGTATATTTTGAATTGAAATTTTAAAAAAATAATTCAATTTTATTGTGATATTTTTTTAAAATTATAAACAATTGTTAAATTTCATAAAAATTTTAATTGAAAAATAATTTTGATATAATTGAATTTGTGATGTATTTCATTAAAATGATTAAAAATAATTAATTTAGTGAAGAATCATTTTAGTTCAAAATTTGTTAAATAATTGAATTGAAGAAGATCTGAAGAAGATCTACATTTTATACTAAAAAATTGTATTTTATTTACATTTTTTTTCATATTTAAAAAAAATTGTCGCATTTTATTAAAATAAGTCGATAAAAGTCGTATTTTTGAAAAAAGTCGGAAAAAGTCGTATAATCCGAGGCCTGTAAACATATAATTTTCATTATTATCATTTAATATGTAATAATATTCTAATAAATTAAATTATTATTAAAAATATTAATCTTTAATTTCTTTATAACAAACAATTAAATACTCTATTTGGCGTGTTTGCGCGCGTTTAATTTTGCTAGTATTTAATAATATTTAATAAAAATCCAAATTTGAATCAAAATATTACAAGCCTCGGATTGGAAATTTTTTGTTCATCAGAAAATTTATTAAAATTTTTTTTCTAATTAAATTTAAAATTTCAGTTTCTTTGAAAAATACGAATAAAATTAAGTTTTGTATTGTTACGAACCGAAAAATATTAATTATAAAGATTATTATTTTTATATGTCCTGGAGGCACCAAGCTGCCGAAATTAAAAATTTCGTTTAATTTTATGGGATCGTGTATCCTTTTTTAGAAGAAAACTGCCAAGTTACGTTATTTGAAAAATTGAATTTTAGGGAATAAACACAATGAAACAATTAAGACCCTTTTATACATTTATTATAAAAAGAAATCTTTGATTTTAAAATATAGAAATAATACAGTAAGATAAGAGGAAGGAACGATACATGTTTTAAAAGACTTACGATACTGCTTATTCTACCGTCGCAAGCTAACGAGGGCGAGGCGTCGAGCTGCTATCCGACGGGCGGAAAAATATGCACACTTATGAAAGCGCGAAAATGTCAATGGGTAGCGCACGAAAATGCACTCACGGGTCCATCGAATTTAAACAGCGCAGGCACCACACGTGCGGACTGGCCGGTCAAAAGACAAAAATTCAATAATTTAATTTTATTCAAATTATTGGATTTTTATTAAACGCGACTTCCGTTGGACTTCGTCGGCGTGAAGTATTCACTTTAAATTTTCGTCCGTTCAATTTTAATCACTATCTATGTAGTGGATTGCAAAAATTGAAAAACCGACTCACGGACGGGCTTAGTCCCGGCGTCTCAAAAATCGTTTTTATGCCTCTGAAAAATTTCAGAGCTGACTCGCGAATGAGAGTTGTACTGCGATTAATTGACTTCCGCGATGCACTTTTATATGAACGTTTAGAGACTTCAGGTGGGAAAATTTTGTGGACTAAGGGTTTTTAACACGTGAACAAGGCGTGAGCTCTGGGCCTGTTACCATGCCAATAATGCTGAGTTTTTATTTTCTTTTAATGGTATAGCCAAATATAATAATATGCACTTGATAAAATCAAGCATAATTATTATTGAAAAGACTTGTTGTCTTTTGGATTTATTTTATGAATTTTCCTTGTTGGAAAATGATTTGATTTTTGGTATTTTTACCCTTCCTTTTTTTTTTTGCAACAATTACAACTTTGATGTTGTATTGTCATGAGCATGTAGGATTGTTAGGCCCAGGATACGTTAAAAAAAAAGAATGGGGGGGTAGAGTAAGAAAGGATGGAAGCTGAAGAATTACGTTCAAGGAAAAGCTCATCGCGTAGATTTATTTGAATTATTATTATTATATCCCTTTTTTTTTTTCGCGAGAAGTCCAATTTCTAATGTGGCTCCTGTACTTATCCATACTCATTTTAGACCCGCAAGTGATAATATCGTGGCTTACAAAACAAGGTATCCATTGTTATCATTTGCAATCAATAATTCCGTTAAATTTTAAATTATGAACATTGCCGCAGCGTCCAATGCATTCAGGGTGCTGCCGCAATGTTCGTTAACGCACTCGCAACATTCGCAACATTACCATTCGCTACTTCCTTCAATTTTAAGTGGAGAACATTGCCGCAATGTTTAATGCGCTTAGAACGCTACCGCAATGTTCACTAACACATTCGCAACATTCCCATTTACTAACTTCTACAATTTTTGTTTGGGAACATTGCCGCAACGTCCAACGCATTCGGAGCGTTGCCGCAATGTTCGTTAACGCATTCGCAACATTTGCAACATTAAATTCAAAGATTGTCGATTATATTTCATATATATAATGATTTTCACCTTTTAAGGTTATATTTAATTATAAATGCCCGTAGAAATTTGAAATTATATTAGAGTACATGCACATATATCCATTTGCGATTTACATTTTTATTCTAAATAGTTATAATAATAATATGTGCACACATAACATTCCAAGAACAAGGCCCGAGTCCGTTCTCATCGCATTATGCTGACGATTGAATTTTATTGTCGAAGTATTGTATTAAAATTTACGAGAAATAAATTTCAACACAACACAAAAAAAAATTAAATTTTTAGGTACCACCGTGACAAACCACCGTGAATGTTCCCGTTTTTGTCCCCAAAAACTATAAGCGATGAGAACGAAATCGGGCTTATGATAATTAAATAATAATATTAATGGATCGCATGAAAAAAAAAAAAAGAAATGAGAATTATAAGATTTCTTTCATATACTATTTATGCTGATTCTTTGTCTGGACGTTGGTGCCAGAGAATCGGATGTGGAGTATCAGGTTGCACTGATAAGGACCAAGGAGCTGCACGTGTAGCAGTCTCCGCGGTCCAGACTCAGGTCCCCGCAGTCAGTTTCCTGGCAGCTCTTAATTACCCAACAACCCGTTACAGTTCATTAAAGTTTTCTTCTCTTTTTCTTTCCCTTTTCTTTGTGGTTTTTTTTTTTTCTTCCCCTTTTCCCCAACAACAGACGCGTGCGAGTCGGGAGTGAATTCAAGTGAAGAAAGAGGAAAAAAAATAGTGAAAAAAAAAAAATGTGTGAAGTTAATGAAAGTGGTCCTGGATACCGTAAGGGTTTGTTAGCCCTTTTGGACAAAGTGAAGAGGATGCGGCCCGCGAAAATCCAGGAGGACGAGGAGCGAGCCCCATTGGCAGAGGAAGGGAGAATTTTAAGGGTGATTGACGCGACCATCCACTTAAAGGTGCTTATGGGCGAATTGAGCAGAGAGAGAGGGTAAGTCGGTTATATGTTTTAATTTTATTAAAATAACTATTTCTCGACATTCTATTCTTCCAAACAATAAAATTTCCAAAACCCTATTTTTCAAAATAATAAAATTTTCAGAATTCCATATAAAATAATAACTTTTCAAAATTTTATTAAAATTATCATTTTTAGGATTTTGTGAAAAATATAATTCTTCAAAACTTATCAAAATTATTAATTTTCAAAAATCTATTAAAATTACCATTAAAATACAATTTTTTTTTCAAAATTTCATTAAAATTATCATTTTTCAAAATTTTATTAAAATTATTATTTCTAAGATTCTAAAATATAATTTTTCAAATTTTATTAAAATTATCATTTTTAGGATTTTGTGAAAAATATAATTTTTCAAAACTTATCAAAATTTATTAATTTTCAAAATTTTATTAAAATTATCATTAAAATACAATTTTTTTTCAAAATTTCATTAAAATTATCATTTTTCAAAATTTATTAAAATTATTATTTCTAAGATTCTAAAATATAATTTTTCAAATTTTATTAAAATTATCATTTTTAAGACTTTGTGAAAAATATAATTTTTCAAAACTTATCAAAATTATTAATTTTCAAAAATCTATTAAAATTACCATTAAAATATAATTTTTTTTTTAAAAATTTCATTAAAATATAATTTTTCAAATTTTATTAAAATTACTATTTTTAAGATTCTAAAATATAATTTTTCAAATTTTATTAAAATTATTATTTCTAAGATTCTAAAATATAATTTTTCGAAATTTTGTTAAAATTATCATTTTTTTTGGATTTTGTGAAAAATATAATTTTTCAAAACTTATCAAAATTATTAATTTTCAAAATTTTATTAAAATTACTATTTGTAAGATTTTAAAATATAATTTTGCAAATTTTATTAAAATTACTATTTTTAAGACTCTAAAATATAATTTTTCAAATTTTATTAAAATTATCATTTTTAGGATTTTGTGAAAATACAATTTTTTCAAAACTTATCAAAATTACTAATTTTCAAAAATCTTTTAAAATTATCCTTAAAATACAATTTTTTCAAAATTTCATTAAAATTATCATTTTTCAAAATTTTATTAAAATTACTATTTGTAAGATTTTAAAATATAATTTTGCGAATTTTATTAAAATTACTATTTTTAAGATTCTAAAATATAATTTTTCAAATTTTATTAAAATTATTATTTCTAAGATTCTAAAATATAATTTTTCAAATTTTATTAAAATTATCATTTTTAGGATTTTGTGAAAAATATAATTTTTCAAAACTTATCAAAATTATTAATTTTCAAAAATCTATTAAAATTACCATTAAAATATAATTTTTTTTTCAAAATTTCATTAAAATATAATTTTTCAAATTTTATTAAAATTACTATTTTTAAGATTCTAAAATATAATTTTTCAAGTTTTATTAAAATTACTTTTTTTAAGATTCTAAAATATAATTTTTCAAATTTTATTAAAATTACTATTTTTAAGATTCTAAAATATAATTTTTCAAATTTTATTAAAATTACTATTTTTAAGATTCTAAAATATAATTTTTCAAATTTTATTAGAATTACTATTTTTAAGATTCTAAAATATAATTTTTTCGAAATTTTGTTAAAATTATCATTTTTAGGATTTTGTGAAAAATATAATTTTTCAAAACTTATCAAAATTATTAATTTTCAAAATTTTATTAAAATTATCATTAAAATACAATTTTTTTAAAATTTCATTAAAATTATCATTTTTCAAAATTTTATTAAAATTACTATTTGTAAGATTTTAAAATATAATTTTGCAAATTTTATTAAAATTACTATTTTTAAGATTCTAAAATATAATTTTTCAAATTTTATTAAAATTATTATTTCTAAGATTCTAAAATATAATTTTTCGAAATTTTGTTAAAATTATCATTTTTAGGATTTTGTGAAAAATATAATTTTTCAAAACTTATCAAAATTATTAATTTTCAAAATTTTATTAAAATTATCATTAAAATACAATTTTTTTAAAATTTCATTAAAATTATCATTTTTCAAAATTTTATTAAAATTACTATTTGTAAGATTTTAAAATATAATTTTGCAAATTTTATTAAAATTACTATTTTTAAGACTCTAAAATATAATTTTTCAAATTTTATTAAAATTATCATTTTTAGGATTTTGTGAAGAATACAATTTTTTCAAAACTTATCAAAATTACTAATTTTCAAAAATCTATTAAAATTATCCTTAAAATACAATTTTTTTCAAAATTTCATTAAAATTATCATTTTTCAAAATTTTATTAAAATTACTATTTGTAAGATTTTAAAATATAATTTTGCGAATTTTATTAAAATTACTATTTTTAAGATTCTAAAATATAATTTTTCAAATTTTATTAAAATTATTATTTCTAAGATTCTAAAATATAATTTTTCAAATTTTATTAAAATTATTATTTCTAAGATTCTAAAATATAATTTTTCGAAATTTTGTTAAAATTATCATTTTTAAGACTTTGTGAAAAATATAATTTTTCAAAACTTATCAAAATTATTAATTTTCAAAAATCTATTAAAATTACCATTAAAATATAATTTTTTTTCAAAATTTCATTAAAATATAATTTTTCAAATTTTATTAAAATTACTATTTTTAAGATTCTAAAATATAATTTTTCAAATTTTATTAAAATTATTATTTCTAAGATTCTAAAATATAATTTTTCGAAATTTTGTTAAAATTATCATTTTTAGGATTTTGTGAAAAATATAATTTTTCAAAACTTATCAAAATTATTAATTTTCAAAATTTTATTAAAATTATCATTAAAATACAATTTTTTTAAAATTTCATTAAAATTATCATTTTTCAAAATTTTATTAAAATTACTATTTGTAAGATTTTAAAATATAATTTTGCAAATTTTATTAAAATTACTATTTTTAAGACTCTAAAATATAATTTTTCAAATTTTATTAAAATTATCATTTTTAGGATTTTGTGAAGAATACAATTTTTTCAAAACTTATCAAAATTACTAATTTTCAAAAATCTATTAAAATTATCCTTAAAATACAATTTTTTTCAAAATTTCATTAAAATTATCATTTTTCAAAATTTTATTAAAATTACTATTTGTAAGATTTTAAAATATAATTTTGCGAATTTTATTAAAATTACTATTTTTAAGATTCTAAAATATAATTTTTCAAATTTTATTAAAATTATTATTTCTAAGATTCTAAAATATAATTTTTCGAAATTTTGTTAAAATTATCATTTTTAAGACTTTGTGAAAAATATAATTTTTCAAAACTTATCAAAATTATTAATTTTCAAAAATCTATTAAAATTACCATTAAAATATAATTTTTTTTTAAAATTTCATTAAAATATAATTTTTCAAATTTTATTAAAATTACTATTTTTAAGATTCTAAAATATAATTTTTCAAATTTTATTAAAATTATTATTTCTAAGATTCTAAAATATAATTTTTCGAAATTTTGTTAAAATTATCATTTTTAGGATTTTGTGAAAAATATAATTTTTCAAAACTTATCAAAATTATTAATTTTCAAAATTTTATTAAAATTATCATTAAAATACAATTTTTTTTAAAATTTCATTAAAATTATCATTTTTCAAAATTTTATTAAAATTACTATTTGTAAGATTTTAAAATATAATTTTGCAAATTTTATTAAAATTACTATTTTTAAGACTCTAAAATATAATTTTTCAAATTTTATTAAAATTATCATTTTTAGGATTTTGTGAAAAATACAATTTTTTCAAAACTTATCAAAATTACTAATTTTCAAAAATCTTTTAAAATTATCCTTAAAATACAATTTTTTTCAAAATTTCATTAAAATATAATTTTTCAAATTTTATTAAAATTACTATTTTTAAGATTCTAAAATATAATTTTTCAAATTTTATTAGAATTACTATTTTTAAGATTCTAAAATATAATTTTGCAAATTTTATTAAGATTATTATTTCTAAGATTCTAAAATATAATTTTTCAAATTTTATTAAAATTATTATATGTAAGATTCTAAAATATAATTTTTCAAACTTTATTAAAATTATTATATGTAAGATTCTAAAATATAATTTTTCAAACTTTATTAAAATTATCATTTTTAGGATTTTGTGAAGAATATAATTTTTCAAAACTTATCAAAATTATTAATTTATTATATTTATTAAAAAAAAAATTTTTTTTTTTTTTTTTAATTCTGTAAAATTTAATTATTGTTTGAAAATTAACAATACCTTTTAAATTTTAACTATTTCTAGAAATTTCAATTTTTAACCCTTCGAAAAAAAAAAACCCAAAATTTTTTTTTTTTTTTTTTTTTTTAACCATCATACAATAGTGTCAACCAACAACAAAAAAAAACAAAAGACCTATAACCTATCACTTTTGATAATAGGTTCTTTGTCGAATTTGGAGAATGGGGACCGGCTCCCTATCGTACAAACGATTGGGAGTTGTGGAGGGTGGACCCGCTTCTCAGGAGCAGTGGCCCGAAAAAGAGATATTCTCGAACCCAATGGTTTCAGGAATATCTCTGGTGCGAGTCCTCGGGGCAGTAACTTTGTCGTGGTTTTTGGGCTACGGTATGTATATATGTGTCCTGACGCGGTGAAAGGGACCTTACGGTTTAAAAGCAAATTGTAGAGAACGTGCTGTCAAAGAGAAGCAAGTAAATAGGCGTAGACTGCACCGCCTATGTTTAAATGTTTATAAAAAAAGACTATTGCAAGGGGACAATTTTTGATTTTTGGAAATCAAACAGCAACTCAAAAACTATCAATTTTTATATAAGAAAATTAAAATCGACAAAAACTAACGTTAAAGAAAGTGCTTTCAAACATGATTCAGAAAATATAATACGCGAAAGTTGAGTACGTCTAAATGTTCATAATAAAAAATTAATAGAAAAAAATAATTTCTATTTTTTGGAAATGAAATAGCAACTCAAATACTTTCAATTGGTATAAAAAAATAAAAATCAATTTTTTTGGCGTAAGGTCCCTTTCACCGCGTCAGGACACATATATATATAAATATATATATACGAAGCTTGTGAGAGTGAAATCCCATGGGTTTATTCTTTATTTTCAGCCTGACTTTTGGGAACCGACGGTTATCCGGAAGGGCCTTGGGAGACTGCCCCTTTTGGAGGATATGTGGAGGGTGGACAGGCGCCACACAATAATGTAATATATATATATTAAAATTTTTTTTTTTTTTTTTTTTTTTTTTTTTTTTAAATGGGAAAGAGAAAATAACCTTGTCTCCCCTTCTAGCCCTTTATCTGCCATGCCGCCAGTGCCACCGGATGTTGGATACCAACCCCTGTCTAAGGCTTTCCAATTGACATTCCTGCAATGTCATTATTGGACGCGGGGGCGGCGATCCAGGACCCGAGCGAGATGGCAAGTGGTGAGTTTACACTTATGCTAAACAACAAAAAAAAAGAAAAAGAGAACAAACAACAAAAAAAAAAAATACCAAAATTAGGTAAAGAAAAGATAAGGCTAAGGGTAAAGCCATTCCCCCTTCTTTTTTTTTTTTTTTGCAGAAGATCAACGTTCCCGTGAGTCGCGTTTGGGAGACGATCGGTCCAGAAGGGTTCCTTTTGGATCCGGTCAACTCATTGGCTGCCGCTCCTGTTTAGGATGAAGGACCTCCCCTCTCCTCTCGCGCGCTTCAATAATACATATGTATATACATAACATTCTAAAAATTTTCTTTCCTTTTTTTTTTTTTCTTTTATTTTATTATTATTATTTTTTTTTTTTTTTTTTTTTATATATATATATATATAAATTTATTAAAAAAAAAAATCGAGTTTTCTACCCCCTCCCCACCTCTTTAATTCCAGGGCCACCAACAGCACGAGCCTCCTTTTTATAAAATAATTTAGTTAAGGATTAATTAATTTAGCTTTTTTTTTTTTTTTTTTTTTTTTTTTTTTTTTTTTTTTTTTTTTTTTTTTAAAAAAAGTTTTATATATATAGAAAGGAGGGGACCTTCAATGCTTCAGCGCTTCGATACAAGGTAGGTTACATTATCTTATTCTCCCCATTCTTCGCAAATCAATGTCGATAAAATTATAATAATATCGGGTGGAATTTACCCGCTAACACTATCAATTTACATGATTTTCCACGACCGATCTCTCCATCAACCAAGCACTGACCCAAAACTCCCACAAATCATTAGACAGGTGATGATGTCTCGTTAGAGCACATTTGCACCCAGTCCTTTGACGACGTGGTAGGAAAGGATGTCTGGCAAAATATTGAGGGCGGCCCAAGTGGCAGTTCGGCGGTCAGACCACGTAAGCCTCCCTCTACAAGAGTTCTCTGTTCTTCTACATGAGAATGTGCTAGGACCTGTCCCGACGGTGCTGAAATTGATAAGAGAAATCGATCGTGGGTTTTCATGTATAAAATTTAAAACAAGGCAAAACTAAACAAAATTAACCAAACAACAAAAAAAACTTTAGTCATATATAAAGGTGCAATGTGTACATAGCACACTCTTTTGTTTTTCAACTAAACTGGTTGAAGTTTTTGTATGGGTAATACGATTACCCTTTTTAAACAGTTTTTGGTTGTTAAACTGACATTGGTTGATGCTGTTGATTTCGTTGTAGAAATTCCGAAACCTTCGGAATTTAGTTGTCAAGATTGGGTTGTAGGTACGAGATTCTTAGGTGCCTCAGCGGTCGATGGTTGGAGTTCCACGTCTTGATCTAGATTCGTCGATGTTGAAGAGATTTTTCCAGGTCTCTGCATATCTAGGTGCTCGTCTTGATTCCTCAACTTATACCCTGTCTCCGGAACGGGATCAGCCTTGTTCCTTTTGAAATCACTTTTGCCAGTGATAGTCCTGATTTTTCTACTGATTGAGTGTCGACATAGAAGGAGGAGACTGATAATGCCAAAAATTACCAAACCACTATAGGACCCATAAATAAGGATAGAGTGATGGGTTCTCCATTTTCGCTGCATCGCAAAATTCTCCAATTCCTGTTCCAGTTGTTCCAGAGTTTTGGAGTTGGTATCGAAATTGGGGGTCTTCAATTTTGTTCGAACATTCTCTTGAATTTCCATCGTAGTTGTTAAATGGGAATAGGTAGAAAATACACTTGAAATCCGTTTTAAGTCCAGGTGTAACTCGGGTTCATATAAGATCTCCGTTTGGCCTACCTGAGTTGCTGTTGCTGGGATAATTATATCTTTTGTCTTTGCTGAACATCCTGGGGCCAACCTTATTATCCCAGTACCAGTGATATTTATTTTGATCGGATAAGCAGAGTGGCAGATTATCAGTAATACTTCCGGCTTGGCCACTGAATAAAGCCAGGCTGCTAAAGTCCGAAGAGGTTTCCAAAAAGATTCTAGACTTGAAGTAATTCTGATATCACAGGTTCGTAGTACTTTGTCCGTGGGGTTGGTCAAGAGTGATACCTCACAGATTGGTCTGTTCTGAAGGTCGTAAATGGGAGATCCCTTCAGACATGCATGGAACGATGTCGTTGTCCTACAATTTTCCCAATCCTTGTCTTTAAGCAGAAGATAGGTTCTTTGCTCCTTATCGACGATTAAGTAGTTGTATGCAGGGTTCACGTATGCCCTAGTGGATGCGTTTCCAAGTTCACCTTGAAGGGTCGGCAGTGGATGTAGTTTGAAGGCCGCATATTTGTCTTGTTCCAAGAGAGGAATGTCTATCAAAATTTTGATTTTGTGGTCCTCGCATAGAATACTGGTTGTGGCTACTTGCATTAATTCGTCAACGCTGACCTTGGGTCCAGGTATGGGGAAAATAACATCAGTGGCGTTATTTCTAATGTCGTCGAGGATAGGTCCCAGTTGTTCTGAAGATAAAATTCCAGGATGTAATTGTCCTCTTCTAGCATCGTGAACTGCGTCTAACATTGTTGTCGTCGCTCGGATGCTGTGATCAAGTCCTAATTTTATGGCGGCCAGTGTCTTGTCCAGGAGTTTGGAGTATTCTTGGAATTCAGAATGTTGGAATTGTCCATTTAGTTCCTTATTCAGGGTGTCGAAAGATTGGTGTAGTTCCTGCAAGACTTCGTCGTGATGTTGCACCTGACTATGCAGACTTTCTAATTGAGACCTAACCACATGTGTCTGCTTTCCAACAAGGTGTGATAAGTTTGCTTGTGCCTCATTTAATTCTTGCATAACTGCTTCGTAATGTTCACCATCTTCGTAGTTTAGCACACCAGCGATGGGTCCTGCAATCTTTCCAAGGAATCCAAAAAGGGGAACACTGCGCCGAGCTCGAAATTGTGATGATACCAATATGGGAAGATTCTGGCGTGTTCTTTCCAGTTCTTCTATTTGCCGCTGAAGTTCTCGTTGTAGGTCTGCAGCTATCTCCCATCGGTCCTCCCAGGGAAATGATTTGATTCGGACTCCGCACCATTCTTCCTTTGGAAAGCATTGCTGCTTCACGTCGTTCAGTTTATAATTTAAATCTTCGAAATGCCTCACTTGTTTGCCGATGTCCAGGAAGATGCTGATCCTCCAATTACTAACTGACCTTCTTACTTCTCCCGAATATTCGTAATATATCCCACTACTTATGTCAAGTGAGGTAATCTGGTATCCGGGGCCTTCAATTGGTCCTATTGGTACTGGATTGATCTGCGCCTTCACGATAATTGAGTTAGAGAGGTGCAAAACGATTAAGTATTGTGCCAAGTACATCTTTGTTTTTTTTCTACAAAAAAAATATTGAATGTATGTTAATAACAAATTTTTGTGAAGGTGACAGTTAAAGATAGGTAACCATCACCTTGTCTTTGTGTTTAGCGAATCTTTCGCCATTGTCATCTTCTAAAATGACATTATTATTTTGGGTTAACCCTACAACAGTGTACGGACCATTAGCTCGATTATCGAACTTGTTCGTCCTAACCTCTTTGTAGGTATAGACTTGGTCGCCAACCTTGACCTTCGATGGTCTTGACTTTCGGTCATAAAACTCTTTGGAGCGTTGCTTTGCTCCTTTAAGTTTGTCGGCTGCCAGATTCTGAAGTTCGTGCAATCGGACCACGAGGTCCTTTAGGTATGAACCATAGGTTTCTAGTTCTGGCCCAAGTGGCAGGGAGGACGGGATCCGGGCTATTCGTCCAAAAACTAACTCGAATGGGGTTAGGTTAGTAGCTTCATGAACTGACGTGTTATAATTGAGCATGGCAAAAGGAAGTAGACGATCCCAATCGTCAAAATCCTGAGCATAGTGCTTAATATAATCCGTCAATTCAATATGGCTTCTTTCCAACGCTCCGTTGGTTTGAGGGCGATATCCGGAAGTTGTAAGTTGTTTTACCCCAAAGATGCTTTCAAGCTTTCGCATTAGGGAGCTTATAAAACTACCTCCTCTATCTGTGAGGACGCATCGAGGCGCTCCATATACAGAAAAGAGGTTTGCTGCAATGGCATGGGCAATGGTGGTTGTTTTTATGTCTGGTATGGGGACCGCAATGCAATATTTACTGAAATTGTCCTGCATTGTTAGTATATGTCTATTGCCGTTGGGAGTGGTTCGAAGTTTTCCCACGGTATCTAGGGACACTTTGTCAAAGGGTTGCGCAGGGGTATCTGTTATTAGCATAGGTTCACGAGTTCGAGCCCTGGCGAGTTTATTCTCAAAGCAACTTTTGCACTTGCGAATATACTCTGTAACTTCGTCTCGCATTCTAGGCCAATAATACCTCTCACGTATTCTTCTATAGGTCTTAGTTATGCCTTTATGCCCTCCAATCAGACTGCCATGGAATTCTGATATTATCTTGGGGCGCAATTGTAAGGGTGGTACCTCGATTTTTCCGTGGCATAGTGTGATATTTATATCGCCACCGCGGAATATTCCTGCTAAAAGCTCCGTCATTTTATTTTGAGGGAGTGCTCCTAGAAGGTCACCCGAATTGGCCATTCGGCAATGTTTCTGATTGTCTAAGGTCAATGCATGTCTCAAGTTTGTTAGTCCAGTGATTACGTCATTCCAATTGATTTCGTCAAAATGTCGCTTTTTCACAATAATTGAGTATACCCTATAACGTCCACAGATAGTGACGTACACCTGTCCTTTAATTGGTTTACTGTCTCTGATGTCTTGTAAATCGATCTTTTCGGTTGCCACTAAAAGTTTCACAATGGGGTCAATGGGTTCACAGTCTTCGGAAATAAAGTGGGCGTAGTTATCTCTTTTGTAAGTTAAAGGTTCTGTCCATTGATGTGAAATGTTTGGTGGGTTTGAATGGGCACAATTGTTGAGATTATCTTCTTCATTGCCTGAGGAATCAGGGGAGGAGGAAGAATCACAGTAGGGAAGGTTTAGGTCCATTAATAGATTCCGTTTTGTCTTACTTCCGAACTCACTTGTAGGGGTTAATCTACGGGGCGTCATTTGTGTTTTTCTTCGCACTTTTTCCTCTTGTTTTTCCTTATTGTAATCCGAAAACCTCAAAAATGGGGTGGAGTGTGCTTCGGGGATTGTTACCCGACCAGGAGTGAATGATGGCAAATTTGCGGTAAAGTCACGATCGATGTTGGGGGTTTCAAAAACTTCGGGAATGTCTTTAAAGCGGACTATACTCCTCTTTCGCGTGGGGGAGGGATTACTCGTTAGCGGGGTATCCACTGTGGTGGTGGGGAGAAGTTTAAGTTCTGATGGAGGGGGTTTCTCACTTTCTTGAGTTTCAACGCGGCTCTTGTCTAGCTGTTCCAAAAATTTTCTTAGTCTTTCCTCAAATTCTGCATCATCATTTTCTTGACATGGGTCCAGGGTTTTTAGATACTCCAAGTACTCATGATCACTATCTCCATCAGAAACGTAGACCTTCTTTCTAGGGGTCCTATCCATCCCTTCATGATCCCATGTTAAGGTTTGGTTAGTTTGATCTGAGCGATTCTTTAGGATTTCGTTAAACCTTTTGACCGATCGATCTAGGCTAGTTTCTGGTTCACATACGTCTTCTTCGGCGAGAGAATTGGAACTTTCCTCGCTGTCTGGGGGTCGGGGAGGTCCTTGAATGATGATCTTGTCCTCGGGAATTTCTGTAACAGGTTCTGTTTCGGATGACTCTGATGAAGAAGAGGAACTGGACTCAGATTCGGGTTCCATAAGGGCACCTTCCCTGGCCAATCTATCTGCATTTTCATTTCCATCGATTCCGTCATGTCCAGGAACATGTTCCCAGATGACGTCCATATGTTTTAATGCATTGATTAGCTTCTCATACACTCTTTGATTTTTTACAGGCTTGTTATCGTTGGTTTTCCAATTATTGTTTTGCCATTTTGGAACCCATTCTGTTATTCCTTGGACGAGAACCTTTGAGTCGGTTTTAATTCTTAATCTGTTTATGCCGCCCTTCTTTGCTTGTCGGACGGCGGTGGCTGCTGCTTCAATTTCGGATGCGTTGTTTGTTTGTCTACCCCTATATCTTCGTGAAATGTTGAGGGGATGATCCGGGCCGAACCAAACTCCTATACCTGCGCGGGGTCGTACACCGCCATTGTCACAACACGCACCATCCACATAAACGTTCGTATATGAGTCTAACGACGGGGGTGTCCATGGACTTGGGGGTGACACTGGTTTTAGGGCGTTTTCGGGGGTGGGCTTGTTTGTTTTCACAATATTAGGTGGGAGGCTGGGAAAGGCGCTACTACTTGATCGAAACACTGGGGGATCCGAACTTTCTTCATAATCACTGTCAGGAAAATTTTCTTCGGATGATGAACTGTCTTCTTTTCTGCCAGGGGGATCGTTGTTTAATTTCGTTTTACGTTTCTTCAGTCGCTTTGCCACGCAGCTGACATCCAATTCTATTGGATTAATTTTCAGAGGGGGAACATAGGGTTCATCTCCATCTGGATCCTTTGTTTGTGAGGATCCTCTGGGTCTTCCTCTCGGTCTCAAAGGAGGTTGTGAGGATGGTCCTGGGGTGGGAGAATTAACTGTACCTTGTAGCCGTGATGTAGATGGTACTTCTGACGGCCTCCGCAAAATAGCCTTGGGTTGAACTTGGGTGACTATTGAAGGTTTAGGTTTACTGGGGCCACCTAGAGTTTTAATGGATGGGGGTACTAGGGGCGCCTTAGGGTCATATTTGGAAGGAACCTTGAAAGTTGGGGTTGGTCTCAGGGAGGGTCGTTGTTCCAAGGGATTTGATGATCTGGTCCTTGGATTCGTTACTTCCTGTGGGTTGCCTTTCTTACTTTTTCTTTCAGGATTCGTTTGTACATTGTCCTTGCCCTTATTTTTGAAAGAGGACCTAGTGGTAATAGGGAGTGCTCTTAATTGTTCCGTTTTGCGTTCCGGAAGCGAGGTATTATCTTCTGGATCTGATTCTTTTGTGTCATCGGTCCAATCTGAGTCCGAAGAGGAAGTTGCATCCATTTTTGTTTCATTTCTTTCAAGGGGGTTATTGGAAAGTGCCCCAACAATCCTGTTGATCTTGCCTGGCTTATATTCGAATTTATATTGATAGTCCTGGAGTCTGAGTCTCCAACGCATGAGTCTCGCTCCAGGATTCTCAACATAAGACATCCAGTGAACTGGTTCAAAATCACATGCTAGAGTAAATTCTCGACCGTATAGATAGGGTCGGAAATTTTCTACAGCATACAAGATTGCCAGACATTCTTTTTCGGCCTTAGGATATTTTCGTTCATTTTCGTTTAGTGTTTTTGAAAAGTATGCGACGGGTAGATCAATCCCATCCTTTTCCTGGGTGAGTATAGCACCGATTGCGTACTCCGAGGCGTCAGTTGTTAATTTGAACCTTCCTGCGAAATTTGGATATTGCAGAATAGGTTTGCGACATAGGTATTTTCTAAGCTTTAGAAAACTTTTCTTTTGGGGTTCATTCCATCCCCACTTGTTGTCCTTTTTCAGTAGGTCAGATAGGGGTTTGGCTAATTTAGCATAATCTTTAATAAACCGGCGATAATACCCAGAGAGTCCTAAAAAGCTTCGAATTTCCTTTTGGGTTTTAGGTTGTGGAAAATTCTTAATAGCTTCGATTTTATCCGGGTTAGGTTTTATGCCGTTTTCGCTTATTATATGGCCGAGATATGCTACTTCTGTTTTTAGAAATTCGCACTTATCGGGTTGTAATTTTAAATTAGCTTCTCGAAGTTTGGAAAAGAGTCTTCGTGCTCTCCTATCATGTTCTTCGAGTGTGTCCGAGTAAATTATAATGTCGTCTAAGTACACAAATGCTTCCGTGTCGAGCATAGTACTTAGGACATTATTTAGTAGTCGTTGGAAAGTGGGGGGTGCATTTTTAATTCCCATAGGCATTCTCCGATACTCGAAATGTCCATTGCGTGAGGAAAATGCAGTTTTGTGTCTGTCATCCGGGTGTGTTTCAACCTGGTGAAAACCGCTCGCAAGATCGAACACGGTGAAGTACCTAGCTTTTCCGAGACGGTCAAAGATGGCGCTGATGTTGGGGAGGGGGAAAGCATCACCTATGACCTTTTCATTTAGGGCCCTATAATCGATAACAACCCTCCACTTTTTCTCGCCAGAGGCGTCAAGTTTTTTCGGTACTATCAAAAGTGGAGAATTGTAATCGGAATTAGAATGCCCGATTATACCGCTATTAAATTGTTTAAGAAGCTGAGTGTCTATTTGCTCTAGGGCTTCATTAGGGGAGCGATATTGTTTTCTTCGGATAACCTGTTCATCGATTGTCGGGATTC